AGACTGCCCTCTCCCCCCCGCCCCAAAGAGCAGCTAATGGCCTCAAACCACATGCCTTAGGACTGCAGTAAACCTGCTTGCCACTAAACCACCAGAGCTCCCTTTCCAAGGAACTGTCCTTCCTAATAACATGCACAAAATATGTGAAACAAAGTTCCATTGTTTTTGTCTGAGAACATAAAAAAACTTTGATAATCAGGAGATTGAAGCAATTCTTTCCATTAACAAGTGAGTATTCCCTTGGTGTGATTTCAAAGGAGCCATTAGGCATGCTGCTGTAAGTCAAACTGGGATTGACCCATCGCTGACCCTCCAGCGGATTTTCAGAGGCAAGAAATCACGTATGAGTGGACTGTCTATTTCCAGCAGAGGAACTGGTGGATTCGGACTGCATGCTTTTAGGTTGACAATGCAGCTCCTTACCAATAGGCCAACGGAGCTCCCTAGGTGTAGGAACACCTAGTGAAATCTCTTGCTTCATCGAAACAAATAAACCAAAAATTTTAATTTGTTCTAAATAAATAATCTTTTCAAATGAGAGTCTTATTTGTAAATTAGTGGAATATAAGAAACAGAAATTCTAAAATATTAACATTACAGTTTCTTATGAGCAAAAAATTAAAAGTTCTTAAAATGTTATATTTGAAAATTGTATTTATATAAATCTTCCCTTCATGTTATAATACACTATTTTTTAAAGATCATGAATCTATTTTATAGAATGCATTTTATTAATTTTAATTAGGCCAAGTATACTTCAGAATCCACTGAATAGAATGGCTTCTACTACCTCACCTCATATTTGGGCGCTCCACTATTGAGCCACAGTAACACAACAGCTCAACTCAACTAAACTCATTGGTGTCAAGTCAGAATCAATTAGCAGCTACCCCTCCAGCAGATTTTACAGTCTGTATATTACGCAGGAGGAGACTGCCAACCTTCCTCCTGACAAGTCATCAGTGAATTCAAACCATCAGAGACACAAATCACCAGAGACTACACCATCAGAGACACCTGCACAACAGCAAGAACTGAAATTCTAGTCTTTGTGAAGTAGTAGGGGCTGCTGGATTAAAGCCCAATGGGAAAATTCAAAGTAAAAAGAGATGGATTTGAGGCATTATTTGTTGAGAAACAAGAACAATGAGAGAAAAGGAAGGAAAAAGATATTCATGTGGGTTTAATTTTAAAATTTTCGTTTATTTCACAGGTAAGGAATTTTAAGGCAAGTATTGGGGAAAACAAGGTGAAATTAAGAAAAAGAAATCAACTATGGTGTGTTAAGGGTTTATTGTTCAAAATGGCTTCTCAAGCCACTGTTTTTGACTTTGTCATGTGGATGGACAAGGGCACAAGGGGAATGGCTTTCCTCAACACTAACCTGACCAGATTCAATGGTAGATTTGGGGAATCTCCCCACTAGCAAACAAGAAGCAGAATGTGCACAGTGCATGGTCACACCCCATGCCATTCAGATTGGGGTCTATAGGAGCAGCAGCAGTAGCAAGAGCTGAAGCAGCAGACAATTAGAGACCCCCACATGAAATGGAGCTGACCTTGGGACTGCTGCCCTACGGAATCAGAGCTAAGACCTTTGCCCAAGTTTACTGGACAACGTGTGTGTGTGTGTGTGTGTGTGTGTGTTTGTGTGTGGCGTGGGGGGCAGGGAGAGCTATAATTGGCAGGAATAAGAGCTCTGTAACCCTAGCCTAAAGTTGTGCTGAGGCTAAACACCGCAGAGCCTGTGACCACATTGCAGCAGCTCTGCTGAACAAGTTATTTTATTTCACTACTAACCTGAATTATAGCATTTCACTTTCCTAACATGGTTCTATGCGGTCTGTGAGCTTTCCCAATGAATTCTGAATCCAGTAGAGCAGTAAGATTTGTAAAAAGCAGTAAGATGAGTAGAAAGGGTACAATAAGCATGGAGGACATGTCTGACCTCATAGTAATTAATTTTATGTTGTGGATGTTGTCGAAAGGGACAGTTTCCGTTTGTGGATTTGGTAAAGGTCCAATATGGCTGTCTCCACATGGTCCTTATTCTTTTTACAATTACACAGATATAGCATAAACAACATTTCCTGTCTATAAAAACATTAAATAATACTATCTAGTAATAATATATTAGAAAAGTAAAGATAAACACTTTATCTATTAGATAGCAGAAAGAAAAAAAATCTTTAAATTGATGGTCTAGTTTTTGTTTCCGCCATTTGATCGAGTAATCCCACTATCAGGTATATATCACAAAGAAAGTAAGTTGTGACAAATGAACATCCACACACCCTGTTTACAGTACTATTATCTACAACTCTGAAGAGCTATAAATAACCTAAGTGTCCATCAACAAATGAATGGGTTTCTGAGGTGTAAATTTTTGTAAGAGGAGACTACCTATAGTTCTCTTACAGAGTGTCCAGTGGATTCCAACTGATGACCTTTCTGTTATGCCAACATATATGTTACCAGTGTTCTTTAAAAAAATGTAAAGTATACAAATATATTTTGTAGACTGTAATTATCACATATGCAGATATGAAATCACATTGGAGGCGGCAATTTGAGTCTTGTTTTCAGTTCTTTCTAACCATATCAACACCTGAGGCCAATGAATAGGGGTGAGCCAGACCAACAGAGATGACCTTGGGACTCAGTGCTAATTAACCCTCATCAGGTGTGATGTAATCTATCATGGCCATTGTGGTGGACTCTGGATACTGGAGCTTAAAGAATCTTCTTTGTTAATGACCATAAGCTGAATAAGATTATGAATTCCTCTTTAGCACATGAAACTTCTGCATTTCGATCTCTGCCAGGCCTTACTCTATGCATCTCTTCATTTGTAGCTGTTTGAGTGTAATAAAGTTAGAGTTTTTAAGTATGGTGTAATTCTAATAGTTGTTCAAGTGAATTAAAGAACCTGGTGGGACCTCTGGTGGCTTAGTGGTAAAGAATTGTGTTACCAATACAAACAAACATGATTCAAATCCACAAGCTGCTCCATGGGGCAAAGATGGGGCATGAACCTCTGTGTGATTTACATCATCTGAAAACCCACTGAAGGGTGAGCTATGGGCCTCTTCCGACTCGACCATAAACAACAGCAACACAAGGGCTGAGGGAAAAAAAAAACCAACCACAGCTGGCAATTTGTCTATCTGATATTAACAAAGAAACTAGTTCTATTTGTGTGAACTCTGATTTAGTTCTGAATAGCTCATTTACTCACTGTCTTTGTTGACTCTCCAGTGGGTTTTCAGAGGTTGAGAAGTGGGTGGATTTGAAGTCCTTGCCTTTGGGTGGGCAGCACAATTCCCAATTCTCTAGGCCACCAGAATATGGCTTTGTTTTGTGAAGTTATTCATGAGCAACTGATCTGAAAGAGCTCTGCCACAGTTAATTTTGTGTGCTACTCATGTGTCTATGATATTGAATATAATGTAACTATGTAACTATAAATACTAATCTGTATGATGTTAATAAATTAGGATTACAATAGATCTGTAAAGATAGGAAGATTAAGGGTTGGTAACATTAGGGAATTGGCCTTCATAGTATTTATGTTTGCACAGTGGCAAAAAGTTAGAAATCTTTTTGTCAAACCTGCATATGGCAGGTGTGATTCATGGTCCACCGAGGCCTGTCTTACTTACTCACTTTAGTCACCATACAAAGCCAGAATGTGGCCTTGTTTCCTAACAACAATCTCTGGACAGACTTGCTTTTAAAGGCAGTTGACTCCAAAGACAGCAACACTGTTTGTTGACAGCATGAACTCCGGCTTGCCAAACACCTCCACTGTGAGGTCTTAGTCAGGACTTGCCTCTATAAGCACACGAGTCATTTCCTTTAAATATTTCTCTCTCTTCTCTCTCCCCTCTTCATGCTCCCCTAGCTCCATCCCTCTTTCTTTATATAAAAGTATCGGTTTTGCTTCTGTAGAGAGAACCAAGTCGATAGTAGTGTCCATCTAACTCGTGAGGTCTGACCTATCTTGGGGTGGACAGGGTTGGAGAGAGAGGGTGCCATATGAGAGGTAGAAAATGCCATATGTGCAGTTAGTGACAAAAACAGAGAAGTGGGAAGGTACAAATGGATAAATTTCTCTGCTGTAGGAATCAGAAATTTATGAGGGTCCTTATCATTCAGTTAGCAATAAATGTGGAATTTTTCTACCTTGTCTCTAGGTTAGTGTAACACATAAATTAAAAATGTAATTATCATTATATTGGATTTATTAAAAGAGTTCAATAGTAATTTAAGAGCTACTCCTTTGAACTTAAAAAAGTCTCATATGGCATTTATTTTCTTCCACTATAATTATTTATTTTTAAGTCACACTTCTTTATGAAACCATAAGGTGTTTCATAGTCACATATATATCTCATTGTACTAAATAGCTTCTAACACATTACCTTGCAGCATTTTATGTCAAAAAAAAGAACACATTCCACTTTTAAAGGTAGGGGAAAAACGGCTAGTGAGGATTATATTAGCTAATACGCAAAACTTTCTGGCCTTTAATAATAGTGAACATGCATACTGACAGGAGTAGCACTCTTTTTCTTCAGCAAATGTAATCCGTTTGCATATGAAACAATGTCAGGTATATATTTAGGTCCAACAGCATGTAAAAGAAAGGAGACATGGAAACTCTAAATGCAAAGTTGATATTTTTTTCCCAGAGAATTCTTCTGATAATATTAGTAACTGAATTGAGTTTCCTTGAGTATGATGCTTATATAGATATGCACATTAAAGTCATTTTTCTTACCCCCTCCCCCCAAAAAAAATTCCAGAGTAAGAGAAAAAACTTCTATAACTGAAAAGGGGAAAAAAAATTCTGTACAGTAGATCTTGGCCATTTAATTAAGGCTTTATCCAATAAGAAGTACTTTCAGTCAGCAGGGCAATGCAGGACTGACATTTGCAACACTCATTCAACAAGAAATACAGTGGTAATAGTCATTCTAAAATAAAAAATTTTATACCTTGATATCAGATGTATCACGTTGACTGTTTCTCCAAGCTCTGGAAACTGATGAAAAAGTTCTATCTGCATGATCAAATTTCCCTCCTTGCAAATTTAGGAAGTAAGTTGTAAAAGGTTCCTAAAAAAGTAAAAAAGCAATTGAAAAAACTATTATGTTCCCTCATACATAAAAAGATAGTTTTTATTAATTCTTTCTATATAATTATCTTAGGGAGCTCTAGTGGCCCAGTAGCAAAAAAACTACATCGTAATCCCAAAGGCTCATTCAAGGCCACCAAGTGCTCTGCAGGATTATGGGCAATCAAATGTGAGAATGGTTACCCATGCTGGACACTGTGGAGTGGAGCTACCCGATTAAAACAAGCTTGGAAGCAGGAGTGGCATCCACTTCCACAACAGCTTGCCTATAAACCTGGAGAAAGGACGAAAGTCATACAGGAAGTGTCCAGGACTTTTGTTCATAGGGTCGCTATGAGTCGCTTGCAACTTGATGGCACTTAACAACAACAACAACAACAACAACAACAACAACAATGTATTTAAAGGGATCACTGGAGACCTAATGGTAAGAAGCTGTACTACAATCTCAAAGGCATATGATTCAAATCTACCAGCTACTCTATGGGAGAAGGACAAGCAATTTTTCTTGTGATTTACTGCCTCTGAAAACACACTGGAGTATCACCTATGGACTGTTTATGACTCAATACCACAAAACAATAATAATATAATGTATTTAAGTGAGTAAATACAGAATGCAAATAATATCTAAATTATTACAATACTGGTTTTATGTTTATTAATATATTTAATACATAATATATACATATTTAATATTTATAATAATTCTCAAATTTGATATTAACAACATTTTCTTCAGACTCTCTTCTTTTCTAAGAGCAATTTAGTAATAGGTTTCCAACATTAATTAGACTGCATTTTCTTTATAGTTCAGGAAAATAGTCCACTATATAATTTTCCTATTGTTATGGCTCAATATTTAATTTATGATTAAGAAAAGAAAAATGTTTAGAATATTTAAAAGCCTCCTCTTAGTTAAAGAACACTTAAACACATATTAGGGGATAATTGCTTGAAATTAGCTAAGCACTATAAATTACTTCTAGGATTTATGTCTGCCTGCACCCTTCTAACAAGCTTTAATTAATGATGTGCTGCTAATGCTTTCCCAAAGAAATTACTTTCTAGTAGACAAATCACCTTTCAATTTTACAGAAACATTTCTTGTTTAACCAATATATTATCAATACATGGCAGCTTCAATGTTACCTAGACATAAACCATATTCTATTTGGTACAACTTAAGTTCTTAAAATATACATATATTAATAAATAAATAAATAAATATTTATTTATTTAAAAATACATATATTATATATATAATGAAATCTTACTACATCTGAAAATAATTTCTATTTACTATATTAGGAGTACGTTTAAGAACAAAATTTAGAAATTTCCAAGTGAAATATTTTAAATGCAATTTTATGATAAAAGATTACAAAATGAATACTAAATGTTATATAGTTAAAAGTCTCAGTTATTTTTAAATGTTTTAGCTTTAAAAATGATGCTGATGATTTTCAATCATTACATATTCTCTTCAACATGAAATGCATTTAGATATGGTTTATTATGCAAGCTGTACTTACTATTCTCAGCAACCAGGCAAGAACAAAGCTTGCAGTTGAATAATGAGTACCGTAATGGAACTTTGGAACCTGATCATCTTCCCAGGATTCATATCTTTCTGCAAAGAATGCTGCTCTTTTTGGATTCAAAGCACCAATTGGCTGGTAAGGGATTAGGAGGAAAAGAAAAAGAAAAACATGTAAGTTAATCATTCTTTACATTCTTCGCTCTTCAAATTTAACCTTATTAATGGCCATGCTACTGTATCATCTTATGCTAAGCAAAATATACACTATTCAAATAAAAGATGTTACATTCACAGAGCAGATGGGAAAACAAATTTAGTTTTCAAAGAAAACTGAGCTCCATGAATAAGTAAACTACGGTAATTTCTCAGAGAGTTTAGTTTCTGTTGAACATAGGTCTTTAATTAATCTGTAAAAGTATATTCATAAAGACAATTAACTGCATGAAGTGAATTTAAGTTATACCATACTATGGAAAGTACCTTAAGCATTAAGTAATGCATTAAAAACAAGAACCAGAATCTTGAAACTGGAGGACTGACTTACTATGGGTTTTAAGAAAAAGATGGAAAAAACTAGGAGACTTGTAAAGTATTACAATCTGAAAGTTACATAGAAAAGGAAAGAAATACATTCCTTTCAACTATTACTAGTAATTAGTAAAACCATGATTAAACTTGTCTGCATAAAATATCAAAACCCACAAAATGTTGAAAAGATTTTAGAGTTTATATTAAAAAACAACACATTATAGGCACAGTACAAAGAACACTATAGAAAAGTGATAAAGGATCTGGGCTCACTGGGCTGATAACACTATCAATCAGATGGTTGTTTTGGATAAAATGAGTAACATATAAAGTAACACAAACCTTATGTGACATATGCCAGGCATTCAAGGAATTTGAGCTATTATTTTTGATATGATTTTTCAGAATTAGGGTCAAATAATGCCCTGGTGGCACAGGATGCTGAGTGATAAGCTGTTAATCAAAATGGTAGCAGTGAGTCCACTGGTCTCTTCATAAAAGAAAGAAGTAGTCTCTTATGGTAAAGATTAATGGCAGTAGGTTCAGTTTGGTAAGACCTTAAGCACAGGATAAGTGCACAACAAACACCCAATATTATCATTATTGGTGTTGCCGTTCCTATTACTTTAGGGAATACATGCACTCAGTCAAATTAAGGATAGAAGGAGAACTGATGCCTTTGAGCTGTGGTGCTGGAGAAGAGTACTGAGAATACCATGGACTGCTAGGAAAACAAACAGATTTGTCCTGGAGA